AAATAAATAAATAAATAAATAAATAAACAAACAAACAAACAAATAAAATGATCCCACCATTCCTTTGTTGTCACAGAGGTGCCTCAGAACCTGTTTCCTGTTCACCCAGTATCAGACAGACCATGCAGTGACTGCAATAACAATCACTTCTGATCTTTGTCCAGTGTCACCCCAGGCTTCTTTGACTCTGGCCTTTTGTGGCCCAATCCTCTTCTCTTCAATCACATTTGGTTTGTTTGTTTGTTTAGAATTATAATTCATGGCACGTCCTGCTGCTTCCTGTTGTTGCCTAGTCAAATGTTCTTTATAAATGCTGACTACTTGCAAAGGCTTTATATTACAAGTCAATGCTCTATCTGTAAGCACCAATATACTTGCACCTAGGATTTGTTAAAACCACACACAACAAGATTTATGCTTCACAAAATGATAGTGGAGGGGAAGATTTGGACAAGTGATTTGTGGCCATTACTTCCATGTATCACAAGACTCTTTGACTGAAGAGCATTCTGCATGGTTTGGTGTGCTGGGTGCGTCTCTTTGTGTCGAGATGTGATCATCTGTTGTTTTCCAAATGCCATCATGAGCTAAACATTCCTGTGGCTGAGACTTTTGGCACACAGATTGTGCCACAGTTATTGAAAATACGTTTGCGCATATCAATGAAAATAGAGTGTTGGAATCAGAACACTGCGCCTTCTGCTGTTTGATACACTGATGGCAAAGTCATGTTTTGAATGTGGATCCTTAAGTAGCCAAAGTGGCACCAGCCGTGCATAAAAGGGAAGGGTTAGGAAACTTTGGAGAACCACATGGTTTGCAGAAATGCATTTATTACATGTATTACCCCTTTTTAATCAGAACTTTCCATTTTAAGAAACAATAATACATATAGTTGATGACAAACACGACTAAACTAAACAATAAAAACCACGTAGATCATCATGGTAATCAAGAAAAATTAAAGCAGCTCAAAAGGCCTTTATGAAGAAATGTCTTCAGGTCCTGCATAAAAATAATACTACAAATCTTTAGAGGGGGAAGAAGAAAATCTTAAGTTTCGAAGACCTCAGACCAGCCCCATGAACATTGCGCTTGCTCAGTGGGGTCACTTTAAGGGTTCCCTTTCTCTTTTTTTGGGGGGGGCTTTTAAAATATTTGTCAGACATCCCAAGGTCTCCCTCATCAGAAAACAATCCATCCCAAAGTTCAGTACACTAGGCTGGATAGTACAGAACATCAGCTTATTTATATACACACAGACTCAGACAGACAGACAACTTCCCAAGGTCCGATACGCAGCTCAAACAATGGTGACGAAGGGGAGATGTAGGTGATGTATTCAGTGCTGTAATTATTTCTTCTATTATTTTCACATAATGAATTAAAACAAAGCAAAGCGTGCTGCTTATATACCGCCCCATAGTGCTTCAGGCACTCTCTGGGTGGTTTACAAGTTAATTATGCAGGCTACACATTGCCCCCCCCCCAGAAGCTGGGTACTCATTTTACCGACCTCGGAAGGATAGAAGGCTGAGTCAACCTTGAGCCGGCTACCTGGGATTGAACCCCGGGTCGTGAACACAGTCTTGGCTGCAGTACAGCGGTTTAACCACTACGCCATGGGGCTGATTTGGGGGGACACTGAGTGCTGTTTGCACCAGGTTCCAAAATTCCTAGTTATGGCTCTGACAGAAAATGATGAGAACCGCTGTGTTAAACAGTGCATGTGGCAGAAAATCAGGGCAGTCTTTCCTCCTGATCTAATAGCTTTCCACCTTCTCAGCAAGTCAAGCAAAGGGTTCCATTTTATGACCAGTTTGAATAGCATCAATTCCACTCCTTCTGGGTACTAGTGTCATGTGACTCTTATTTATTTATTTATTTGAAATATCTTTACCCCACCTTTCCCCTTAAAAAATCAGTAGGGCAAATGTATTAGAAACAATTTAAAGTTTCAGTAGCCTGGATTGAACTGGTTGTTCGCAGTAAAGTAGACACATTGAATCAATGGGGTTTACATAAAACATCGCTCATCAGTCAGTAATTAAGTCAATGTATGTACTGTGCTTGGGGCTAGAAGTTAGACGTATGCCATTGATTTCAATGGGTCTGGGTTGAGCATGACTATGTCTGGGTCACATACCAATCAGTGTGTCAACAGTGCATGCTTGACACATGCAGCTTACATATCTGCTGTACTTTTCGTGTGTGTGTGTGTTAAAAGTTTACTGTCTTACATTTTAGGAATTGAACTTCTCAATTTCACTATAATCAAAAAGAAAAAGAGAGAGAGAAGAAAAAGAAAGAAAAAGAAAAGAGTTTTGGGACACGATAAAGATTATCATAAAAGCAGCCCATTTATCATGGACAGCAGCCCATTTAATCAGATGTGTATTGTGGATTACAATCCATGAAAGCTCATGTCAAATAAAAATTGTTAGCCTTTGAGGTACCTAAACTTGCTAATGTTTCAGCAGGACTGCAAATATTCCTTGGAATTTGGCCTGTACAAAACTTGGAAATTTGGGGAAATGTATTGGTTGGAAAGTGAAATGTGAATTGTCACTTAAAAAATTATGAATTGAAGCATGGTTATATTTTGATCACCTTTCAAAAATTATTCAGTTTAGCCTGAAAACCAGATTGTCACAACTTTCTCGTTTTATAGGCTCATCACATCATATTATGAATCCTTTCTTTGTAAAAAAGGAATCCAGGCTGCCCCTCTTCTCCCCACTGTAGGCTTCTATAGCTTGGTCATTTCTTTTGTACGTTTTGTGCTTTGTTTGCAAACAATATAGCGTTTCGCTCATAATCTTTTGTCTTGGAAAAGCCTTCAAATATTCCTGAGCATGATTTAGGTATGTGAGGGCGTGGATGAATCATGTATAACTGAAAGAAAGGAATCAAGGAGGAAGTGAAGAACAGGAAAAAAACATTCTGTTGAAAGGGTCTTGTTTGTCTGGAGGAAGGGACAGATTTCAACTTTCCTGTAAAACAGGAAAAAGCTAAGAAGGGACTGCAAGTTTGTTTTTGGTAGTATTACTGGTAGATTACATACTGAAGCTGGAGGGGAGGAAGCCACTAAAATTCACACCCACCACTTCCTGTATCCTGTGAATACCGCAGGAAAAGAATGCGCTACTACCAAATGGGTTGCAAATAGTGTAATGAAAACGGAGCTAAGAAGTGTAGTGTCTTCTGGAGCAGAGATGGGCAATCTCCTTTGCTAATAACAAATAGCCGAAAAAGGAGGAAGTGAGTGGCATCTAGTCAATCTTCTTGAGTCCCAAGAAGTTATTTCAGTATTGAGATAACCATGTCTGGAGAAAGGATAATCCATGTCGTGATGCAACGGCTCTTGATCTGGACAGCATTTCTGTTAATGGAAGGTGAGTGATCCACGGTTCAGATTAGAGGAATTTCTTGTAGAAGCTGTCAACTGTCTCTGTGCAGATTCCACCTCTTCCACTCAGTAGGAAGAAAGGAATCTTTGGGTCAGGCTAAATGTTTTAGGATGGTAACCCACATTGAGAAGAGAGAATCCCTTAAAGGTCTTGATTGTGTGTTATTGTTGTTGCAGGAGTGTTTTTCATTTTTAGTAGTTTGCAAATTAACTTGCTTTGTTTAATGAGCATTTTGGGGTCATCAGCCCATTTGTCAATCATGAAAGACGGGCTAAAGCACAGTCAGCCCAACTCAACTGCAAGATATAATTCGTCTCTTTAGCTACCGTCCAAAACCTATTAAATTTGAAAGTAAAATAATAATAATGTAACATAAGAATCTTAGAACTATAGAGCTGGAAAAGACCCTATGGATTCTCGAGTCCAGCCCAATATGACTTATGTCAAACTATGGTTAAAACCAGAGCTTCAAAAATTTATTTTGGGGGGCAATCGCTCCTGAAGTCCCCCATCCAAAATAGTCCAAAAAAAGTAACTTGCTAATCTCTAGTTGCTCTGCAGAGTACGTTCTATTGAAATGATAGTGCTTTGCTTCAGAGTAAACATATTTAGGATTGCCTTGTTATTCTAACCCGAAACAGTTAGGACTTGGAGTGCCTGCTTTGTTTTCGCTGCTTTGCTTATTTGTTAATCGGGGGTGGGTTAAAATCCCAAATTTCTTAGTATCATGATGTGCTGCCACTAGAGTGAACAGAAAATGTGAAATGCTTTACAAAAGTCCTGGGATCCTGTACACAATGGCCCATTCTTTCGATTTCCTGCGTTTTCACAAATATTTTCCAAATATGGAAAATCAGGACATTCCAGAAATGCTCCTGCCAGGTGCAACCTACTTCTCTCCTTTTGTGTGGCCTTTCATGTGGTTGATAAATATGTAATGGACGGGGAACCAGGATGGATGGAGAGGCAGACTGCATTTCTGTGCTGGGTGGGCAGAGGAAAGATGCCTTGGTATCACATCATTTCAGGGTCCTGTAACAGGAGCCAAGCTGGGAAGTGATTTGACTTTTGAGTTCCTGTTGGGAAGGACTGCTGAGACTGCAGCAGTTTCCAGGCAGGGAAGGAGAATGGATACCAAGACCAACCAAGAAACATGGGTGCTGTTATGTGCTGTCAAGTGGCCTCCAACTTATAGCAACCCTCTGAAAGAGACAGCCCCAGACTGTCCTGCACAGCTTACAAGCTTTATCTGACACAAACGGAAAGAGAGAGCCCCAGACTTTCCTGTCCTCAACAGCCCCGCACAGCTTACAAGCTTTATCTGACACAAACAAATATGACAGTGAGTTCCATCCACCCCAGTGTTCTACCTCTACCTTGATCTTCTTGTTCAGAAGACGGAGGGGAGGTATAATAGCACGCTTCAAATACATGCAAAGGAGGGGCAGAATTTCTTCTCCAAGTCATGCAAAGGAGGGGCAGAATTTCTTCTCCATCATTCCACAATACAGGGCAAATAATAATGGGCTCAAGTTACAGAGGGCCAGATTTTGACTGAATATTTGGAAAAAACTTCCTAACTATTAGAGCAATAGATCGGGCTCAAGTTACAAAAGGCCAGATTTTGCCTGAATATCAGGAAAAACTTCCTAACTATTAGAGCAATAGATCTGTGAAGATTCTCAGCCATCCAGGTGAGGTTATCTGGAAGCAGCATCATGACAACTGGACTTCTTTCTTACTAGGTTGAAACGTTTCGCTATTCATCCATGTAGCTTCTTTAGTCTGATGAGTAGCGAAACGTTTCAACCTAATAAGAAATAAATCCAGTTGCCATGATTCACCTTCCAGATAACTATTGGAGCAGTACAATAATGGAACCATTTACCTTTTTACTGCTTATTTGTTTGTTTAATATATGTTTTAGCCTGCTGTTAAACAACTACCCAGAATAGTGCTTTTCCACTAATGCAGTGGTGTAATTAAATTAAATTAAATTAAATTAATTAACACACAGTCCGCCTTGCCACTCCTAGGGTATTCTGCTGCTCTCATGTATGATGGAGGATGATTTCCAACAACCATTGTTCAAAAAGATGCTGGGTTGCGTTCATGCGGTAGAAAGGAAGACCATATTGTTCTTTGCCTCGGGTAGCAAAGAACTTTGAGCTGGCCTTGGCCGCTCACACGAGCCTCTGCGCCATACATTACTGCACATCTACGGGGCAGAGTGTCTCCTTGCCTTCTTGAGGGCGAAAAGAGGCCCCTAAGACTTGTGTGGTTGTGTGCACACATGCTGTTGATTGGGCTGGCAATGTTGTCCTGTGGAACAGAATGCAACAGAGGGCCAGTGGCCTTATAGGCTCCTTCCAATGCCATTATTCTATGATTCTTTATTCCACCCAGATGCAATTCAGCCCACTGCCCTCAATAATGCTGTGATTCATCTAGGGCAGAGGTGTTGAAGCTAGAGGGTAAATTTTGCTGCCAGGGTTGCCTTGAAAACTGCATCTGCGTGGCATTATTTCAAAACATGTGGACATCACAAGTTCATGTCCCATTATGGAATAAACAAAAATACCCCTTCGCTGTGCTAAAGGAAGGCCTTTAAACTTGCTTTGGAAGACAATCCAGACTTCTAGAGATTTCCAGGAGTCTTCGTTTTGTGCCAGTTTTTCTTCTTGTTGGTTTGTGTGTGATTCGTTGCTGGAAAAAGAGCCTTGAGGGGCTGTTTGATTTCCATCCTTGACAAAGATATATGAGTCTCCAGTGGTGTGTAATAGGGAGGAAGTGGGCAACACTGGCACCAGATTAGAAGTTTCCCCCACCAAATGCCCTCTGGTGGATCCTCTCACATGCTGGTGTAGGAAAGGGGACTTCCTGAAAGGTGGGCTGTGATTGGCACCAATCCGCTGTAAGTGGCTCAGTCATTTAAGTTTTCCATAATGCATTGTGGGTAATTCTAAGCAGCCCATGCTGTTTTAACTTTAATTGTGGCTTGATCACAGCCCAACGCTGTGCAGAGCTAGAACTACTATGTTGAGCTATGGGGGAATCAGGACTGTCTCCCACCCCTTTGTCCCTTGATGCATAAGAGTGAGCCCCCAAAAAAGGAGGAGGAGAATGTGGTATACCCCTCCAAAATGAAGCAGAAGGCTTATGCTTTCAAAAAAAAAAGTGGGAATCAGGAGGTCTTGCAGGTGTTTATATTCCTAACATTCATCAGGAGATTTATCTCTTGATGGCAGAACATGTGCTCTTGTTAAAGCCCTGATGGTGCGTAATGCTGCACACTCTGCTTATTTGGGGTTCTGGCTTTAGTCACCATTGAATCCGGGCTACCTGCAACTGTCTGGGCCATTGGTTGAGTTTCCTTCTCGATGTGTCAATGGCCCATGCTGCTCCTGAAAGCGTAACCTATGGATACCACAAGGAAAGCTGACACCCTGTATTTTAAGGATTGATTTCTCCTGCTGCAGTTTTGCCCTGCACTGGCTCGTGAAACAGGTTGTGTTAGTAAACTGACCAGAAGAACACTTTGCTTTTTATGCAGAAGGAATGTAGCATAAAGATGCTTGTTTAAGAAGGTTTTGGGATTAAAATTAGCAAGAGGGATTTTTTTTAAGGGAAGATCCAGAAATTAGAGACTACCAGTGGGAAACAGAGATGGTTGGAAGGTCTAAAGTCTGGAGGAGCACCTGGAGATCCATCAGCCTGCAGATTCCATTCATTGTGACCAAAGGCCCATGACTTTTTGTCCTCCCTGAGAAGACAATGTCCGGAAGTTTTGCACAGGACATGCCGAAGGAATTACCATCTGTTTCAGCAATAATAATGAGCTGGATTCTCAAGGGATGGGGTGTTGAGCAGGAGAATACCATTATATTCAGCCTTAGTTGGAGGAGTTGGTGGCTTTTACCATCTCTTATTTAAGCATAGAATTTGTTTGTCTGCTCTGAAATCTGAATCTCATATTCAACAGGAAAAGGGAGAAAGGAAAAACAACAGCAGTGTTGTTAACAGATATGAGGCCACGGACATTGAATTATAATAATAACCATTATTTTGCACTTTAAGGATGTCAAGGAACAGCCAGTAGCTGAAATCCTGTTGCTTAGCATAGTAAATACAGGCCCAGGGAATCAGTGGGGATTCAATGAGTCAACTCCTCTGTAAGCTGTGCTGATTCAAATGGGCCTGCGCTCATCGCAACTTATTAAGATAAAGTAAATCACAACTAGTAGTCCCATTTGAACCAAGAGAACTTACAAAGAAGTTGACCCACTTGTGGCATGGTTGAGTTTTAGCTACTTTCCAGCAACTGAAGGAAATCACGAAACAGCCTGACCAAGTCGGCGCCTAATCCCGATTCAATGCACAACTACCTCTTTTTTAGAGCTGGACTAGAATGATTTCTGTATGCATGAAAGGGTCACTTTAATAGAGATCACACCTTTCAAAACTACCCTTCCCAGGGCGAGCCAAAGCATTCTAATCACGACCTAACTCTGACGATTGCCAGGGTGCCAGCTGAAGTCTTCAGGAATTTCTATGCTTCTCTTGGTCTGTAGGTGAGGAGATAAATCTCAAGGGTGAAGAAGATAGTTTGACTTTTGTGTCTGAAGCAGACATCCATTTTTACCCATTTCCAATTGGCACCAGGGCTCACTGGCTGAATTTGAAGGTCTTTGTATGTGTTGCTCCCAATGGCATCATTGGCCCAAGTGCATGGGCCCACCAGCTCTCTCCCCAGTCCCCTCCATTTGCTCCTGGCTCTTGGAAATGCTGATATTGGGCATTTGGAGCAAGGCAAGGTGTGGAGTTCCAGTATCGTGACTTATAAGCCTTCTTGTTCCAGAAGTCCTTACAACAGGGTGGAGGGGGTGGGGTAGACCTCACCACAACCCTCAGCTGCCTCGCCTCTTTGACATCACAATGTCCTACACCCAGTCTCAAAAGTTTGGGGCTTGAAATCTCTGAGATGCTGCAGACTTGAATACCTTTCTGACCATTTTTATGTGCAATGATAAGTCAGAATCCTTTCCAGAGAAAGAAACCAAAAATATGGATTATTCTTCTGGCTTGTAAAGGGAAAGGCAAGTCAGAGTGCTGCGTGTAGACATTGTAATACAAAGATCATGGATAGAAAGTCCTTGGCTTATTTTAGCCACTTCTCACAGAGGGAACAACTGGGTAGCATGAACTAGCATGCTGCATCCTCTAACAAGCAAGAATTTGAAAGAATTCGGACTTATCATGACTTCTGAATGCAGTGGTGCCTCGCTTAATGATTTTAATTGGTTCCAAAAAAATCATCACTATGGGAAAACATCGCTAAGCGAAACGCGGTTTCCCATTGAAATGCATTGAAAACCGGATAATCCGTTCCAATAGGAACGGATTGCCATCCTTAAGCGAAAATCGCCATAGGAAACATCGCTAAGCAAAACGCGGTTCCCCAATTGAAATGCACTGAAACCCATTCAGTGCATCTCAATGGGGGAAAAAAATTCAACAACAAATTTAAAAAGAGTCAGAACAAAGTCAAATTTAGTTAACAAAGGGTTTATTAAGTGCACTTTATGATTTCAAACATTTTACACAGTAAACTTTAACTTTATAACATTTAAAAAACAGCAAACATGAGGCTGTTTAAACCATTGTTAAGCGAAACAGGGGACCCAAAAACCTAATTGTTATGCGAAGCATGGTCCTGAAATTGCTAAGCGGAAATCGCCCATAGGAACCATCGTTAAACGGAGCGCAAAAATGCTCCGAAGTCATTGCTAAGCAAATTCATCGTTAAACAAAGTGCTCGTTAAGCGAGGCACCACTGTATGCACATTATCTAGCAGTACCTGCAGTTCTGCAACAATGCTGTACCCTATCATTTCCCTCTGGACTCAAGGCTGCATGCACAATCTCCTAAACATTATTCTCATAACAACCCTGAGAGGTAGGCTGTGCAAGCAATGATAGGCTGAGGATTATCTCAGTAATTTTTTGTGGCCTTGGTAGAACGTTGAATCTATCAAGTCTAGCAATCCTGGCACCACAGCAGATCAAAAAATGAAAAGAACTGATGGTAAAAAAAAAAATGGTATTTCTGTTTTTCTCTTCCTCTGTAATCCCCCAGGTTCAAAGTCTCGCTCAGAAGAATTTGTCCCCCAGATCCTTGATCATCCTTCTGACCTTGTAGTTCGCTGGGACCAACCTGCTACCTTGAACTGCCGCGCCACTGGGAACCCTGAACCCACAATTGAATGGTACCGGAATGGAGAATATGTGAAAACAAACAAAGACGATGCAACCTCACAGCCGACCCTACTGATGGATGGGTCCCTCTTCTTCCTCCGTCTCAGCCAGAAGAAGGGGAAATCGGATGAAGGGGTGTACAACTGTGTGGCCAGAAACCATCTTGGCACAGCCATTAGCAAGAATGCTTCTCTTTACGTAGAAGGTGAGGCACTCAGATGTTTGGCAGGTAGCTTTATTTGCAGCAGGACACAGCCATTTGAGGGAGAGCGGGTTGCTAAGGAAGAACTTGTTCCCCTGTCTAACAATGGAAATCCTTGCTTGTTTCCATTCCACGTGCAAGAATGAGAATCACATTTCCCCGCTCTTTGCCTGCGGTAGTCTGACAATGGCAGGCAGTCACAGACTGTTAGGATTTTTGTGTCCAGGTCAGTGAAAAGTGCAAGAATGATTTTTGTACAAATAACACAAATAAAATGCACATTGCAAAGGGGTAGGAAAGCAGTTGCTTTGTTTGGTGGACTTTTAAGAATTAAAAGCATTGGATGGGTCTTTTGTATCTTTTTACTCTGGCTGTGAATGTGTTTTGCTTCTCCAAAGGAAAGGACTCTAGTTTTGCACAGAGATTTTTTACACAGATAGTTTGTCGCACAAATTGCTTTTCCAGAGGTGATGAATCTTGTGGGAATGGAACATTCCTTGTCGAGGTGCCTCATCATGTTAAGACAGCCTAAAATAATGAGAGTAATGACTTCCTTGAGTATGTTCATATCTTTATCTTAAACCTTCTGAAGGGGGAGGTGGTGAAATCTTTCCCTTTCTCTGGAGGCAAAGAGCTCAAATTCTTCAATTATGGATGGGCAAATCTGTCAAGTTATGCTTTATTTACTTTTAAAGAAAATCTCAAATTCTTGTCATTAGCTTCGTGAATAAATGGGTGACTAATTAAAATAGAACCAAACAAAATTTGCAACAATCTCCACTGGAAAAATTCAGTAGCTACAGTGGTTTTCATTAAGGAGAGAATCATTCTCTACCTGGTTGCCATGTAGTAGTTGAAGATGATAAGCCTGCCAGGAAAGAGGTCGTAAACCTGAATCTATAACCCAAATGTAATAAAAGACACATGGGGTCAAAGCTCACCTTTTAAAGTAAGGTGTTCAAAGCCTTCAAGGTGAAGATATGCCCTGGTGAAGATCTTTTTAGAGCTAAATAATATGGAAAGGCCGTACAGTCATAGACCTATAAGAGCATTGAACAGTTCCTTTTTTGGACTGTACCTCCCATAATCCCCCAGGGTATTGCACTGTTTGCACATAAATAGTGCAGGCACCTTTGCAAACAGTTTCCTGTGAATAGAATTCAGTTGTATGCTCCATGCAAAAAAACATGTTTTCAATGTTGCAACCTTGACCCATGATAGATGACTTCACCCATTGCCTGCTCCCACAGAAAGGCTTATTTCTCCCAAGCAGTAGGTCAAAGCACTGACCTCCACGTTTTTTTGCCTTGTACCTCTGAGGCTGTACATACTAGAGACTTGATTTTCATAATCAAAGCTTGGAATTGGGGGCAGTTGATGATCCAAAGGAGGCAATTCTAAAATCTTGTGTGTAAAAAAATAAATAAAATGTCCAGGGAGCAAAAGTAAAAGTATAGAATAAGAATGAGAAAGCTGTAGCCATCACAAGTACATCTGTGATAATTCATTTTGTTGCTGTCCTGCATTATAAAGATTTGCCATTTGCTTCCCTCATAAATAAGCAGGCATTTTATTCCCAGATTAATATGAGAAAACCAAGCAGAATATCGTATATGGTACACCTGGACTGCACCGGCTTCACCGCTGAGGCTATGGTGTCACTTTTATAGGACCATGCAGCACTAATTATTGATGCAATTACACATCCTCTTTAATATGCAGGCCCAGAGACTCTCCAATTAACACTTCATTAATGATTGGGCTGTGTTTGACTCCCTTGGCCCAGCATGAAGGCTCATGGTGGCGTTTGGCAGCTATAAATATTCATGCCAGCAAAGAACGGTTTGGAAGATGCTTCTGTTCACAACACTAAATTAAGTATGCCCCACGGCTCTGCATTTAAAGTGTGGCTTGCAAATAGAAGCCTCCCCACCCAAGGGAATCAGGCTATGTCGGGAGGCAGGTGATGTCCTGTCATCCTGGTCTCATCTTTGTAGGCGACAAAAATAAAGTCAGCAGGGCAGTCAGGTTGTCTTGGCATTTAGCTCCAGGAGTCAATGAGTCTGGCGGCTGATAGGCCAATAAGGCAGAATGAACTGCTAAAATTCAGGACCACAACATTTCCAACAGTGGGGTGATTTAGAATCATAGGATAATGGACTCCGAAGGGGCTTGTAAGGCCAACCTCTGGCTCAGTGCAGGAATCCAAATCAAAGCAGATCTGACAGATGGTTGTCCAATGTACTCCCATGTAAAAAAACAACAACAAATGAATAATTTTGGAGAATGTTGGGGCTGGTCAGAGTGCTTCTACTCATGCCTGGCTCAGCAATACTACAATAGAGAAGGATCTTGGAATTGTAGATCACAACCAGAGTGCTTCTACTCATACCTGGCTCAGCAATACTACAATAGAGAAGAATCTTGGAATTGTCGTAGATCACAAGCTGAATATGAGCCAAGAGTGTGATGTGGCTACAAAAAAGACTAATTCTATTTTAGACGCCAGTAACAGAGGTATAGTTTCCAAATCCTGCGAGGTGGTAGTTCCCCTCTATTCAGCACTGGGAGGCATTCAAGAAAAACTTAGATAATCACCTGACAGATATGCTTTGATTGTATTCCTGCCTTGAGCGGAGGTTGGACTTGATGGTCTTGTAGGCCCCTACCAACCTCACTATTCTATGATTCTCTGATACTTGATTCATCTGATTATCTTGACTAATCTATGCCACAGCTGTTATGTAGGAAGTGTCTGTCTCTACCTCTGATGCCTCCTGTCCAGTCAGAAGCATTGGGTTAGACTATGAGAGAAACAACTTCTGTAGGAAAATAAGCTTCCTTATGTGGCAGAAAGTCACCACTAGAGTAGACTTGTTGAATCAATGGAACTTACAGAGGAGCTGACTCATCAAATCCCCATGAATTCACTGGGTCTCACTCCAGTGGTGACTTGCTACTGGATTACAGATCATTGGTCCATCTAGCCCCAGTATTGTCAAATTTACTATAGACAGTGGCTTCTGGGCTTCGGGTTAGGAGTACATCCTAACTGGAGTTCTCTTATATGCCCTGATGTCTCATCCACTGCTAGCTAGCCTTTCTCCTGCTTCGATTTTGGGTGAAATCACTGGGTCTCACTCCAGTGGTGACTTGCTACTGGATTACAGATCATTGGTCCATCTAGCCCCAGTATTGTCAAATTTACTATAGACAGTGGCTTCTGGGCTTCGGGTTAGGAGTACATCCTAACTGGAGTTCTCTTATATGCCCTGATGTCTCATCCACTGCTAGCTAGCCTTTCTCCTGCTTCGATTTTGGAGAACAGCTGTAGTATGATGGTTTTCTGAGAGCTGGAACAAGGAAGAGGAGATAATAGTGCGCTAAATAGATAGATTTTCTGATTTTTGCTAGTGAAATTGCCAAAAATTGTTGGCGATGCAAATGCACTGCATGCAAAAAAACTCCACTTTAGTTGTGGAGATAGCAGAACTGAGAATAGTAGATAGTAGACAGCAGAACTGAGAATACACAGTACTGAATAATGTGCATTTGCAAACCCAGTTTTAATTTTTTGATTGCCTATGATCTTATCTTAAGGAAACTGGACCAGTCTGCTCTTTTCTTGCAAAGCACAATCCCACTGTTCATTCAACCAAATTCCAAGAATTTTTTGGCCAACATAATCCACATCCAATTTTGGATAATTAGCAGCATTTATTGGGCTGCCTACTTTTTTATGATTGCCATGAACTTGGTTTTTTGTTACAGTCATTTTTAGTTTGTATTTATTATGTACTGTAGTCCATTTTACTTTATGGAGTAAACTTTGCTGGCTATCTGAATTGTCTGCAGGTAACATTGCAGTGTTTCTGTATCAGATGTTATCATGCTTTCTTTCCGTTCCCTTTGGTCTGTTATCTTAAAACAGCTCTTTGATATTCTTGTTCCGTATCATGATTTTACACTTGACAAGTATTAGAGAATTATTACTATCCAAGATGGCCTGGCATTGTCATTTTTGAACATGGCTGGACCTTTTTGTTCTTTTTATACACAATGTAGTTGTGTATCTTCTCAGTGTTTTCTGTTTCTGTATCTTTGCACTATCATTTTGCCTTAGCTTTGTTAAGCTTTTTTAAAAATGTTCTTAGATTTAATTACTTGTCTTCTTCATTTTCATCTGTCTTCCACTGGCTGTATTTCTTATTAGGTTGTCCACTCATTTTCCCCCTTTAAATTTCTGCTTTTGAGATTGTTGATCACATTGACTAATAGCACTGTCAGTTTAGAGCAAGTAGAATTTAGGTATGATGTTTCTGAGCATGTCTAAACTGGATTGCTAGTATTTTCTTTAATTTGAGGTGAACTACGGCAATGACACCCTGGTCCATGGGGTCACGAAGGCTCGGACACGACTTAACGACTAAACAACAACAGCAATGATGGGATTATTTTCTGAAGTTACATTAGCTCTGGGATAAATTTGAGTTCCAAATAAGTGTTAAGTCATTGAAAATTTATATATACAATTTCTTTACACAGAAGAAAGTCATTTTCATTAGAAAGTCATGTTTGTATGACTACATTCTACACATCTGTTCTGAGGCAATTAAACAGAATATTATCCTTCCAGATGTTGAAATCACATTGTCATATGGTGAAGATAATTGCTGTAGCAATATATATATATATATCTCCACTTCATTTGAATGCCATATTTCTTTCTTGAATGCAAAAATATATTGTCTTTTTTTGTTCAACTGCAATCAATGCAAAGCAGTTAAATTATTTCTCTTGGGCTGTGATGGAGTGCATGTAGGGTGGAGTGGCTTTTAGAAACAATCAGGACGGGGGACAAAAGGCTAAAAATACCTAGCAATAACATCCTAATGTATGGTCTCTGCAGCCTTGCTTCTTGTAAGCACTTAACTCATCCCCTGGAATTTTGATTATATCACAAATAGATTCACATCCTCTTGGAGGGATGGAATCAGGAAACAGGCTGAAAACTAAATGAACGGGGAAAGGCTGCTCTCTATGGGGTTTCCTTTCTGATTGTGTGCCCTTGTTGACGTCGAGACAATGATATTTGAAGGAGACACAGCAACTGAGGAAGATTCCCATAAATAGCTACACTTGTTCTTATTTCCTTGCCACAGGTTGTGTTGATGGCCTTTGATTTAGGTTAGAAGGTTTTAGAGGAGGGATGGAGGGCAGATGGCCCAACTCCCATAATTTCTCATCATTACCTATGTTGGCAAGGGCCGGTGGGACATGCCTTGACAACCGATGAGTTATCTGTTCTGAACGCCTCTTTTAGATATGTTTTTCCCACATTTTATATATGTCATTATGTTTTATTATATTATTTAGTACAGTATTTGTTTTTTATATTAATGCTGATGCTTTGGTTTATTGTGTAGGCTTGACGTTTTGCTTATTGTTTACTTTCTTATGTTGTAAACTGTCCAGAGTGGCCTTTGATTAGATGGGAGACAGACAGACAGACAGACAGACAGACAGACAGACATCAAATATTTCAATTGGAACTACAGATTTGACAAGTTGAGCTAATTCTGTCTAAAGAATATATGTAAAACTTTGTTCACATTGGTTGTGAACCAATGGAGGATTTGAGACTGACTTTCTAAACTTTTCTGCTACAGCTAACCCACCTGTAATTAGGATTAGGTGGTTACCTCAGGTGGAAGATTAAGGATGTAAAGTCAAGAGGAGTCAACTGGAACATTTCAAATGCAAATTATGTAAAATTGCAAAAATCATGCAAATCATGTGAAAGCAACTTGTGGCATTATTGTTATGAGGACAGTGCACTCCAGACAAAGGCTGATTTCGGGACAGGGGCTATTTGTTTCAATTTTGTGCTCCTCTTAAAGTGCACCCCAGCCTCTTTCCAGAATGGATTGAGCCTCCTGCCCCACACCCCATTTCCCCCAGAAAATTGGACATTTGTAGGATAGTTTGCTTTAAAGTGTTATTTAAAAAAAAGTGGGCAGGGCAGGAAGAAAAGGGGGAGCAGAAAGTAACAACACCGTGTAAAGCAGTTGCTGAGTGGTTAACAAATGACGACACCAGAGAAACAGATTGACTGCTGCTGTCCCAATGAAGAGCGAGAGAGAGAGGGAAAGGTCCCTTAGTGAGATGACATGGGGTCTACATTCTTTTGGGTGTAGCCTGTCCTTCCAACATTCCACTCAGTACAAAACTGAGCTTAGAACTGCTACTGCTTGCCTATATTTATTTAACACAGGCTGTGTGTTTGTGCATATGTGTTCTGTTCTTCTTTTAAGCTAAAAATAAGAGTCCTGGATCACTCAGAGGAGGCTGAGACTGAACAGCTGCGTACTCGAGGAAGTATGGGAGCTGATCAACCTCAGTTTACTTAAAGCAACATGTTAACAGAGGAAAGGGATGCTCTGGCCACTCCCAGGAGTTGTAGGTGTCTGACTGCCTCACTTTCTCAACTATGTAGTTGCTGGAGACACAATAGTCAGGGCCCTATTCTGGTTTTAAGTGGTGCAGGGCCCTTTGAGTTAAAACAGAACACCACACATATCCATATTCTTCCTGCCTTAAATAATTACAGGAAAATGACAGTGAGGCTGGCTGTATCACTCAGCGAGTGGCTGCAGAGTTTGAGGTTAGAAGTTCAGTTCCCCACTGTTCATCCTTGACAGGGGATGGACTTAATGATCCATAGGGCCCCTTCCAGCTCTTCAATTCTAAGTTTCTAAAACAGTGTGTGAATAATTGTTTCCAGTCTGTGCCCCCCACAATGTGCCAGCCCCCCTACCGTTGAGAATGGTTGCTTTAAAAAACTGTCTGTGCCCAATCTCTTATTGGCTTCATTGCGGGGGAGATAGCAAGCTGCACTGTACTTCATTATTTTTAAAATATGACTTAAATGTACAAAAATGTTTTATTTGTTTATCCTGTGCAAACCAAGAAGGCCTTACAAATAAGGATTTCTTGTTTCTTCAGTCCTCACACACCAATATATATATATACTTTTAATTGGATTAAGTTACTTATGGTTGATTTTCTAAACCTAAAGAGCATTCCAAAATTTGGGGGATTAACATTAGGACTGAGGTTAGAGTCAGAGTTTTATGGACATTTTCTGTATTTCCAACTCCAGAGATAATTCCAGTCGACTAACACCACTGCAACCCCCAATGAATGTGCCAAGCTACTGATAACTAGAGCATGACACTTCTGCTTCTGGGCATCAGCCTTTGTTAAAAAACCAGCATGGGCAATTTTTTGTCCCAATATTACTGATGATGATGATGATTAATGATAATAATCATGTGCTAAGAATTCTGATTTATGGCAATCCTTGTCAGGGTTTTCCAGATAGAGAATATTCATTTCTGGCACAGAATCGTTGGAGCACCTTATATGATTAAAGTTTAGCAATTGTGATAATACAATGATAAAAAGGTAAAGGTGACAATTTTGACTTGACAATTTTGTCCAGTCGTGTCCGACTCTAGGGGGTGGTGCTCATCTCCGTTTCCAACCCATAGAGCTAGCGTTTGTCTGCAGACAATCCTCTGTGGTCACATGGCTAGCGTGACTAGGCATGGAATGCCATTTACCTTCCCACCGAGATGGTACCTATTTATCTACTCGCATTTACATGCTTTCGAACCGCTAGGTTGGCGAGAGCTGGGACAAGCGACAGGAGCTCACTCCGTCGCGTGGATTCGATCTTACGAATGCAGGTCTTCTGACCTTATTGCTCTAAAACGTTAACCATTCGGTAGGTTTTTCCATTACCGTTAAACATTCCATTACTGTCATTGCCCTTCAGTATTCATAACAGGAAAAGTAAGGAGTAATGAGAGCAATTTTTTTTTGCGCTTTGCTTCCAACCTGTGCCTTGGAAGAACAGGTCAGCCATAGGAACTTGCCTATATCACACATCAGACCAATGGGTTGGCTAGCTCAGTCATACCAACTTTGACTTTGTTGACATATTTTCAGGCAACAGTCTTCTCCAACATGCCTGGGTGACAGCATGGGCTTGAACCTGTGACCTTCTGTTTATAAAGCATGTCCTGTACTGCTGTGCTGTGGCCTCTATCCATCAATCTCTAACTATCAGAATATATAGACTCACTTCTGACATTGATAGATAACAACACTGAGAAACAATTCAGAAAACATTTGAATTTCCCAGGGTAGTTTGCTGCTGACCTTTTATCAGCTGGAAGAATTTCATTTGTGTTTCTTTGTAGCTCTTCAAGAAGAATTTCGTCTTCATCCGAGTGACTTGGTGGTGACAACTGGAGAACGGTTATTGTTAGAATGCATGCCCCCTAGAGGACATCCTGAACCTACTATTTCATGGAAGAAAAATGGGGTGCTTATAAATGAGGAAAGTGATCGTTATGAGGTAATGGTGAATAACAATGAAAAAAAATCTAGCAATTATACTGGGTGGGAATCTGTGTTCCATATGGGGCTAAAATATCTGTAGACATACAGATTTCTGCACTGTTTTATTCCCTATCCTGATTACAGAAGGCTTTATCCAATATGTTCAATGCCCTTTCCCCACTTTACATGAAGGCTGGTAAGTCCTATTCCCATTTGGACTGGGACCAGCTGGGATAGAACTTTAGTCCCATCTAAAAAAGCTGTGAGACATGCTTAGAATAAACTCATTGAAATCAATGATTTAAGCAGGTCTAACTTTGCTCTCATTGATTTCAGTGGGTCTGCTCTGAGTGCGACTAAACCCGGATCAAACTCATTCCTTTTTTCTTTACGCCAAATGAAGGGAATTTCTGTGTTTTTCGAGAGAGAGAGATCTCAGGACTAGTGGCACTAGAGCTTGTAAGGTAGTTTAAAAGCCTGGTTACCGATCTCCCCACATTACCAGCTAGTGATGGCGCACACAGGCTTAGCATAAGGGTGTTGGTGTTTTGAACCTGAATAATGTTGGCAGCTCTGAAAAATAAGAGAAGCCTAAACATGACAAAAGAAAATAAAAAAAACCAGGAACAAGAGGAGGAACTGGGGGGAAAGCCAATGGTCTAGGGCAGTGGTTCTTAACGTGGGCGATAATGCCCCCCAGGGGGCGATTTCATTTTTCAGGGGGGCAATAGAACGAAAAGGGGCGGTGTGGGGGCGCTGGAGCAGAAGGGGGGCGGTAGGGGGGCCCTGGAGCAAGCCAAACCTGTTAAGATGGCTGCAGCCTTTTTACAGTGTGCATGAATATATATTTTCCTCCAATCTTAATTTAGTTTCAGAGTTTCATCTTGAAATTTTTAGTTCCTGCATTGTGGTTTGTTTTTATGCCCTTTTTATATTTCTTTTTGCGTCTTAAAATTC